TCATCGCCTGTGTGTATCGCCCCCAGTACATGTGCATGCATGCGCCGTGTGACAGACCAGGATAAGCAGCCTGGAGAGAGAGGCCGGTGCTCCTCCTAGCTCTTCCCCTCATCTCCAAACAAGCCAGGACCTGCAAGTCTCTTTAAAAGACACAATATTCTGCATCTTAACCTATTTGTACTCCTCTAATTACCCTGAGTGGCCTGTCTTCTGTCTGGAGAGCCTGGGGCAGGTACCCTTTTAATCCTCTTTTGGAGCAAGCAAGGGAAACAGTGAAAAGCGCAGCACCCAGGTAATCCAATGCCGTCAGAGACGGTATTCAGTCTCCCAGACCCAGATACACTTCCAACCATACACCTGGCTGCAGAGCCCTTCAGAACACCATCTTACATTAATCCCCAAAATGTTCAGTGTGTTAATTTAGTAAAAAGAGCTTAATTTCTTACCGCGGAATACGGAAGATTACTCACAGCACTAAACAAGTTATAAAGTACGAAATAGGGCTCATTCATAATGAAGAATGACGGCAAGCGTCCATGGTGTGAGTCTGACACATTTCAGTGACATTGGTAACAGGTGGCAGAAGCAGCCATATATACAGACACACGCCACATAAAAAGAATTTTGAGATGCAATACATCATATAATCAATCACACACAATGTTTCAGTTAGTAACTTTTTAAACTCTGCTCAAACAAACAAATACTGGCCACATCTGCAGAAAATCATAGTCACAATGGAAGCCACAGGCTTGCACCCTTACTGAGTGTGACAAGGTAATATATCCAAAAATATAACACAGAACAAAGATCTAACACCATACAGAAGCAATTTATGTTCTGTTCCCTTTGCTTGGCAAAATCTGGCAACTTCACCAGCATTTTTAAAATGTGTTTCTCCTTTATGTTCCCTGTTGTATGACACATAGGACTTAAAATGTCCACAGTTTGCAAATTCATCAATTCATATGCATGAATGATCAAAGATCAAAGATATTTTTATTGTCAATTCACATTATATGTGTGAGACATACATGAGAACTGAAATGCCGTTATGTACAATTACAAAATTATAGACATTATATACAAAAAGACAGATAACAAGACACAGGACAAACTGACAAAATGATCACCTAGTTGATTTCTGTCACAGACAATAAAGCAATTCTTTCTGGAAATGCACCAGGCATTAAGAATTGGCAAAACCTGAGATTGCAAGAAGCTTGAATATGATGTGAACTCACCGACGCTGACAGAGATCCGCTGTATGGGTCAGACAGCATCATGAACTGGTATCCTGAAAAGGCGGATGCTTTGTATCGATCTCTGTCTTGATGTTTGGACCCTAAAAGAAAAACAAAATCAAAGAAAGGAAATGAAAACTTTTGCTGGTGTGCCATGCCAGTTAGGGTTTTACAAACATTTGAAATCAGGTAGTTCAGTTTTCTAAACAAAGCACATGTGATAACAAAAAGAATCTAAAGATGGAAAAACATCGGAGGAAATTTATTCCCTCATTACTTTTGTTACAGGCATTAATGAGCAAAACAAATGATATAATACAGACGCTCCACTACTTACGAACTTTCAACTTACGAACTTTCAGACATACGAATGAAGAGGACTGTAAGTCCAAATTGTGTTCATTGGGCTCCCGTTTCCTGTCCGCAACATCAAGTTTTTTTTCTGCACACCAATTCCGCCTAGTATAGGGGTCTCAAACTCCAGTCCTGGGGGACCGGAGCCCTACAAAGTTTTTGATTTACCCTCATTTAACACGCCTGATTCAACTCCTTGTGCTAATTACCACACAGCTCTTGAGCTGAATCATTTGTGGTGGAAGGGGGAAAGAACTAAGCTACACTGGGCTCCGGCCCCCCAGGACTGGAGTTTGAGACCCCTGGCCTAGTACGGCTTTTGGCCGTTACTCCTGCCGTGCAGCAGCGTAGTGTGCGTACTCCCAGCGTCCTAGTTTTTTGTACTTGCCTATACCCTTAAAATGAGTTGAATAACGATTTACGAACATTTCTAGTTACGAAAGGCCATTCGGAATGTGTCTCGTTCGCAAGTAGAGGAGAGTCTATGTAATTATTCCTTGACTCTTCATATTCCTCTGTAAGAGCACATAAAAACAGATAATACAATATTACAAGTAACATTTAGATAATATCCAAATTCAGCAGCCATGCATGGAAAAAACCTGATCTGAGTTGCTTGTCCACATAGCATTTTTCTATTTAGGGTGCCCTACTATATAAAAGCTGAATAAGTTTTACAAGAATACAATCAACAGCAAACAGGTGCTTATATTACTGAAGTTTACAGGTTTTAATTGTATCTAGAATATGCAGAAATACTGTAGATTAAATTCATCATGTATAACATTTTTGTGTTAAAATGGAACTTCTCAATATATTGAATTCATCACGAAATTATTATTATTATTCTCCACAAAACTGACCAGGATAACCAGTTTGAAGATGTACGGATGAATGTATTATTATTATTATTATCTAGAGTTATGACGTTTGCTTCCTCGTGTCTCAGAACTGGGATTGGATCAAAATGATACCCATGGTACACAAGATTTGTCGGCTAACATCAGCTCAGGATCCTGCAGCTCATCAGACATAGCTTCTTCCACATTCTCACACACCATCGTCCAGGTAAGCGGCCAACTACAGAATATTCCATTCAACTGACCGTACATGCTTCGCAGCTGCTTCCAAAATGTTTGCTGGTTTGTCTTCAAGTATAACTCGTGTTTCCAAAACAATGGATATAATAAACATTAAGCTAGAAATAACACGCGGGACGTAGCTCATACCAGGCTGAGAAACTTTGCCATAACTAGTCAGCGACGTGCTGGTGACCCTAAGCATGACGTCCCACCCCCCCGAATAAAAATCTTTTTTTTTACGTTGATTAACCTTTCGTTTGCAGTAATCCCAGCACCTACCTTAGGGTCGTACTGTCAAGGTAATTCGCGGTTTCTAAAAACACATCGTTAGTCTGTTTCCTGTACAGACCTGCAGCGCTGCACATCCATGACTTACCATCGGCAGGATCCGCATGTTTGCCCGTAAGGACTCCGTGCTCGCCCTGCTGTCCCCGTCTGACCACCTGCAAATATCACCAACAATTACAAAAAACCTTCACTGAAGAACAGAAAAAAGTTTATTATCTAAACAGATGACGCGAAACGGACCAGCCCTCACCCCCTGGTCTGCTCCTGAATTCGGATTCAGGTTTATTTCTGATTCGTTCACCAAAGACGATTTCAGGTCCGCCAAATCGCTTTCGGTCTGTGCGTTTTCTTGGATCTTCTCGTCTTGCTCTCCTTCATCCTTAAAAGAAATCATTTCATCGTTAGCTCCGAAATCGTCCCCTCCGCCGCTATTGAGCTGAGGCATTTTTTTTCTTCCAAAAATAAAAAAGCTTAAACTTAAGTTGTATCCCTCTCCTTTTATATGACCCGAGCAGCAGCGCTTGTTGGTTGTCTCTGGTGCAAACGGTGGCGGTCAGACCCCGTGCAAAAAAGTGTGAAAGAAGACAGAAGTCGCCGCGATGGGTGACACTAACATGGCCCGGCAGCGACATTAATAGCGCGTTTCGGCCGAAGGAGCGGCTGTGGCTGCAGGCATCAAAGAGCACCGCCTGCTGATTGACACATTCACAGACTTGCTGGGGGTTGCTTAAAAATCAGTTTAGCTCTTAAAGAACCACGACTTCTTTCTGTCAAGTTTCCTAATGGTTACGAAATTTACAGTAAAATACGTAGAAAAAAGCTTCCGGCTACAGACGTGCCATTTTAAACTGACCCCTTTGTTGATATAAACAGAAAAATGTGGCGCGGAAAAAGACAAACATTTGCTATGATGTGAATATGGTTATTTGTCGCTGATATGTTTTGTATCCCATACTTTTGGTGAATCAAAGGTTTCTGTTTGTTAAGAACTTCTTCCCAACCCTTGTTACTGAGTCTAAGTACCACTGTAGAATATTTCTTTTATATTTTATCTAATGTCTCGACTCCCCCCCAACGAAAAAGTGCATTATTTGACAAGCACAGCAAAATTCTCTTAACTTTAGACATGCAATGCTTCATGCGATTTAATTTTTTTTAAAACAACTCCTTATCAGTGGATTTTTTAAATACAGTACCACATTATCACTCACTAAAGTTTTTGGGTCGTCCTATTATTTCCCTAGATACCAATAAAATATGCCACTTAATAAAAGTAAATAATAAATAATTCCACTAGATTGGCCAGGCCAGGATTGACATGCCCAGGTTAAAATACGCAGATCTATAGATGAAATATTAAACTTTTAAACGTTTATTTACCTTGATTAAATAATTCTTTTGTGGACTGTTTTTACAACACTTCTTTTGTGTTTGTATTCTTCTTTTCCAGTGTAACTGAAATTCCCACAGACGGCTCGATTTACTGATTTCGGACTTTTGCTTTTGCTTTTTGACTTTGTAGGACATTCTGTTTCTGTGCCCCAAATCTTAATTTCTAATCTCTGATTGTTGTTATGACATTTCAATTTAGCAAAATATATACTTGCTGAATTGCCTACGGGACAGGAAATGCATATAAATAAATAAATAAAAAACAAAAACTGCCAAAACTGGGTTTTGTTATGTGTGTTTATATTGGGTGAATTTATTGCTGAAAAAAGGTTGTTTGCTGATAAGAAACTGAATCCTAAATGCAAAATGAAGCAGACGCTGAGAACCAGAAATACTGCATTGTAACAAATGAAATGTGTCGAGTTTTAATATGACAGTTTTAAGAACCTTGACATTTTGAGGGCATTCTCGGGGGTATGTGCCCTTATTTAGTAAATTAATGTTAAGAGGAGTTTTAGGATTTCAAACATTACAAATACAGGCATTAGTGTCATGTTGATGTGAATTTCAGAAGTAATGCAACTGATCCTATATAATAGTCAGCTCTGGGAAGTTGTTGCTAAGCTACAACTGCGGCGATGTACTGGGATGGCAGCTGGAAGCAATACGATGCCAGTCCGGAAGAGAGCCGGGGGGCCACAGAAGGGCCGGGCGGGTGACTGGTGCGGGATGCTGATGGCGCTCTGCTGCTCCGTATCTCAATGTGCCAGGCTTGCTTTGGGCCCGATTTGCACCCCTGCTATGCTGCAGCGGAAGCTCATTGTCACACCCTGTTTCTCCCTGCGAGCCGTATCCTGTTTTGGCATTCGTGAGCACAAAGCGCTCGACCTGGGACCTTGCTGCCCTCGCCGTTTGAGATTAAGCCTGCAGCAACGGAGAAGCAACCTGTTGTGGTCTATGAGGCTCGTGACAAATGGCTTATTTTAAACAGCAACTACACAGGCCTTTGATGTCAAGCCAAATCAGATAAATCATTTGATCCTGGGTACATTCACATTCATAAAAGCCTGCTGTCACTCTGCCTCAGATTAATGCTTCTGGGGTCGGACATTCTTGGTGTTTAGATTTAACAGAAGGCAGGGCTCTAGAGATGCAAAGCATGATCTACCTGTGTGCCAGCATGACATATGGTTCTTTCTCTCACTTATTTTTCACGATATCTTTGTATTGGCTGCACTGCTGTGTGGTCTCCATCACGCACCATGAAAAATATGAGGCATTAACATGTTATTTGCGAATGGAAATGAAAATAATTATTTCATAGTAAGACGAGACTTTCCTTCCTCAATGTTCAGGCTGTGGCAGCTGTGCTGGATTGCTGCTCAAATGTTTGACGGGCCGTCTGAGAAGAAAATGTAGTTTGAAACTGCTTTGACAGCAGCAGTCCAAATGAGATGCTGAAACTACTGTGGTCACGTTAACCTTCCATAAAATGAATGGGACACATTGTATCTAAGTGCTGAAAATCCCAGACCATTGTAAACCCCAAGTGGCTCTATGTTCACACGTCACTGGGTCCCCAGGGCTGCTATGAGAACTGCGATGACAGTGTGCGAGACCTCGGCCACAGTCACTGGGAGCACCGGGAGCACTGGGAGCACCGAGGCCTCCTTTCGCTTTGTAACACCAAAAAAGGGAGGAATGTGTCAGGAAATCCAGGAGGAAAGAGACACTTGAAGCACGCACACAATAACAACCTGAGCCCCTACCCAGCCTTAACCTTAACCATAAGTAGCCAAACGAAATACAAGGCTTTTGGCATTTTTTGTTTTCTGAATGCAGTCACAGATTTTTATAGAATTGAATTTTTACTTTTCAAAAATTATCCCCACGAGGTCACATTGTGGGGACGCATGACCTCCACACATTCAGAGGAGTATGAGGTGATGTTGTCACTCCATGTCCACCACCATTCAGTCCAGGAAGTCACACAGATGGGGGGATTCACAGATTCATAAAGCTTAACAATCAGCCTATATATTGAACGTTAGAAGTAGATTGCTTCAAATAAATGTAGTTTTTTGAAGCACCTTTATTATTTCAAAATACGTTTACTAGAAAAGTAACTTGATCTAAAGAGTTACAAAGTAATAAACTGAGCATTGTAAGGCGATTGAGGATTTTGAGATTGTGTCAATAACAAATGAACTTCATCACAAAAGAAACTCTGTGCTGTCAAAGACATGCTATGTTTTATGGCAAAGACAATTTTGCATCCCTAAAACACCATGAAAATGACAAATATTGACAGATATGATGTTCCTGTTTCTGCTTGGTGCATGACGTCACTCAGCAAACTGCGCACAAATTAAATCAGAAACTTCAACAGCTTTGCCTAGAATGTATGCAATATGGAAGTAAAGCTAAATACAATCCATCCATTTTCTGTAACCACTTATCTTATTCAGGGGTGTGGGGGGTCCGGAGCTTAACCCTAAGGCTACAGGTGCAGGTCAGAAACCAAATGCAATGTCAATGTTGAGTGAATGTTGGAAATTTGGAGATATTTAGGAAATCATAGAGCCTGTATAATCATCCCAGTACCCAGAAGTTATGTGTTTCATGCATCTTTTATACCAACCTGTCCTGGACCAGGGTCTGGAGCCTGTCCCAAAGGTGAATAAACCAGGGTGCCGACCCGTCACGGGGCACACCGCCACGGCCAAAAGGTACAGGCACAAGGCGGCGAATAAGCCAGGACAGCGTGCCGACCCGTCACGGGGCACACCGCCGCGCCCAAAAGGTACAGGCTCAAGGCGGCGAATAAGCCAGGACAGCGTGCCGACCCGTCACGGGGCACACCGGCGCGCCCAAAAGGTACAGGCTCAAGGCGGCGAATAAGCCAGGACAGCGTGACGACCCGTCACGGGGCACACCGCCGCGCCCAAAAGGTACAGGCACAAGGCGGCGAATAAGCCAGGACAGGGTGCCGACCCGTCACGGGGCACACCGGTGCGCCCAAAAGGTACAGGGTCAAGGCGGCGAATAAGCCAGGACAGCGTGCCGACCCGTCACGGGGCACACTGCACACCAATGTTTGTGAAATCAAGAGTGTCACAGGGTCACCTACAATACTAAACAACATTTCCTGACAAACAAAATTGAAAGTAATAGCCAATTCATATTCACAAATAATTCCCGAATCTACAGACAATTGTAATCAAATAAAAATTAATTGAAATATGGTGTCAATATTTTCAACTATTTACTTTAACCAAAATGGTCAAAGGAATTGGTAAATATTGATACTCGTCAACATTGCAAAGCATTACACACAAAATATTATGGAATTATAAAATTACTACTTTGTTTCCAACTGAAACATCATGTTATTTTTGTTGAAATTACCTCTACTCAAAACAGAGAAACACAGAATTATTTTCAATGTAATAAATAAAAACATCTGAAAGCTCTTTGGAAAATTATCTTGGGGGAAAAATTGCCACCTTTATTCCAGTAACAGTACAGTGAAGTGCCCATTTCATCGGCTATATGGAATTAGTCATATTTTGGGGACTATTTTCTTCAGTTAGATATTTGCAGAGTACATTGTGTGATAATGGAGATCGGCTGAATGACTAAAGCGTGTGGAAACTGCAACGCCATTAATCCAAACTACTCAGTCATCTCATCTGAATTATATTTTAAAAATAAGATTTTGATGATGATGATAATTATGATATTATTCACCCCTTTAAAATCAGTCCTCGTTATATTTCAGACCTGCAAACTTTTATTATATGAATTTGTAATTATTTATGAAGTTGAAACCGTATCTTGTCAACACTGCAAATGCCGTGAAGATAAGATTGGTGTCCATAGAAACACAGAACAAAGGATTTTTTTCCAACTGTGAATTTAGTCAGAACATTAGGTTTCTACACCGATATTATCCTTTTCCTCTTTGGATATGGCTTCATGGAAATATGTCTTAACTGTATACGGTTTGCCAGCTGTTATGTGTACAATACCCTCTATCTGAGTATGAATGGTTGCATGTAGGTAAGAACAGAGGTGAACATTTGACTTATAGAATGTACAAGCAATGGAAAAGTCATTTTTTCTATTAAAAAAAATGCTATTATCACAAAAGAATTGGTTGGAATTACTGTCAATGTATGATTCAAAGGAGCTCATTTAGCAAAGGTCTAAAATGAATTTGACCATTATACTTATTGAAAATACTGTTACTTCCTGAAGTGAAAGTTGTACAGTATGTATATAATACACCAACATAAATGCTCAGAAAATGCATTTTGTTTGAATAAAATACACATATCCCGTCTTTTACACAAAGTAAAAGTAGCGTCTATGAACATAGTGTTTTGCTGAAGATGTTTAAATTATGTATGTAAATTTTTCACTGTCTTTGTACTCTGCTGTTGTTTTGTTTGTATCTGTACACTTAAGTATTTGCTGCTTTTATTTTATATAATGCAACTAGAATTCTTCAGCAAATATTATCATTGAACAGAATAATTAAAAGAATGTTCTCAAACAGTAACCTATTGAGTTATATATCAGCAATTTATCATCATGCATTTAACAGGAATCTATTGATTGTTCATTGATTGTGTGGGACAGGCAATTCCTTTAGGCAACTGCATTTTCATGTATAGCTGGTAAGCAGAATGTGTTTATAAATAAATTTGTAATTACATTTGCTCATTGGCAGGTTCACATGCACCAGATGCACCTCAAACACCTTCCCACGTTTATGTGTTTGTTCATGAAACTCTGATTGTCATCAGGGTGTGTAAAGTGCATCTTACCTGAAAGGAAATACACTCCCCCATGGAGGAGGAGGAGCTCTAGTGGGACCCCTCGGGGATCTCCCTGATGATCCCAGTGAACCCCTCCAGGGGAATGACTCCTCGGCCATCGCCCCTGCATAGGCGATCCCAGCCAGGACCCCACCTGTCGGTCTCCTGGAAAGGAAGAGGGCACCGACGCTGGGGTCGTATCCTGCCCACCCTGCCCCCTAGCTCGCCCTCAGTCTCCCTGGCTGTGGCTCGCAGGGCGCCTGCGGGTCCTCCGGCTCTGGCTCGGCTGTCGCCTGCAGGTCCCCCTCCGATGGCTCATTGGCTGTTTTTGGCCCCGCCTCATCAGTCGCCTACGGTATCCCCGCTTCGACTCCTTGGTCACCTGTGGGTCCCCCTTCTCCGACTCGTCGGTCGCTTGCGCCATCGCCGACTGTGGCTGCGCCGTCGCCTGTCGCGGCTTCGCCTGCCTCCTCACCTGCGCTGAGGTCCCCTTCAGCTCCCTCCTCGCCTCCCCTGGTGCCCCCTCCAACTTCCTCCTCGCCTTCTTCGCCTGTCCCTCCGCCTGCCTCCTCGCTCCCTCCAAGGTCCCCTCCTGCTCCAGCCTCACAGTCGCCTACTGCCCCTGCGGCTGCCGCCTTCCACCCGCTGGGGTTCCCTTGGGCTCCCCGTTGTCCTACGTCCTTTCCTTTTCGACATCCTATGTCTACTCCTCGTCCTTCTGTGCCTCCTATGTTCACTCCTGGCTCTTTCATACCTCCTGTTGGTGTTCCCCCTGTGTCTCCTTTTCTGGTGCCCCTCTGCCTGTCTACGTTCCCTGTGGTCTGTCAGTCGTTGTCCTGTTTTTTGTCCCTGTGCCTGTTCTGTGGGTCCCATCTCTTCATTCCCCTGGGACGGGCCCGGAGTGCGCACCTTTGGTGGGGGGGTTCTGTTATGACCTGCTCGTACGATCCTTCCGTGTGCCACGCCCCCTCATTAACCTCCTGTGAAACCCTGATTGTTCCCAGCTGTTTTGTGTTATTTCTGAGTAGTCCAGTGTATTTAATCCGCGTTTCGCCAGTCCGGTCATTGACGTTGTTTTATCATGTTGTGCCCTGCCTGTAATAAAACCCCATTTTCTGGACTTCCGTGTGCCCGATCCTGCTTCCCTGCTCACTGCTCGCTCGTCCCTGCGCAAGGTCACAACAGAACCTCATTTGTCTCAGACAACTATTGCAGTCAGTGCAATAGTGGTCATATTAAAGTCAGTTTTCCCAACTGGTGTATGGGTGGTCCTCTCTCCCAATGAGGTGATTATCAATGTATAGTTTTACAATATGTATACTGACCACTTTATTGATGATAGGAAATACTAAATAATAATGTGGAGCTGGGTACTGGTAAAGCGAGGCTCCCTTTTATTCTGTGGAGCAGACAGTCAGTGATTGTGTTTGTTCCACATCTTAGACTCTTACGCTACAAGCTGTAGGTCCTTCAAGAGGGCGGGTGACACAGAGAGACTTAATGACTTCATATCTGGCATGTAGGGTGCAGTCGGGCATCCGGTTCCTTTGATGTGGCCAAACTAAGTGCCCGCTGTACCTGCAGTGCCAGTCTCCATATTCCTCCTGCCGTCTTTCTACTTACTTTCCAATTCACTTCATTTTGTAAAATACGTCTTTATATTCAAAGTTGTAGTAAGCCACCAGTACACTACCTACACATACTTGCATAAAGTATGTGTAATTCAAAAATATTTTTCATTTATATATTTCAAACTCAGAATACATCACACATTTGTATATAACGATTACAAGGTATGTCTAAAATATGCAGTAAAGCAACAGGGAAAGTTATGATGATAAAACTTTATATGGTAACTTCCCATGGTCTGATAAGGATCTTGTTAAATTTCTTTCAAATATAGGGCACCAGAAAGAAAAATGATTCACTGTTAAATTAGAATAAAATGTCAGAAGTTCTTTACCACAGGTTGCATGAACCCTACGAGGGTTTGAAATTACTCATACTTTCCAGCATTTACCAAAGTTCATACAGGAAAGAAGCTTTGCTATTTTCCAGTGATGTCAACAACCTTTGTGATGGTTAACGTGTGGAAGCCAGAAGCCTAAAAACCACACTTAGAGATCATTTTGTCTCAGGAGTGCCAGATCTGAGTGCATGTTTTGTTGACAGGATGGAGAAAGGTAAACCATGGTGCTTTGCAGGAGAAACTCTACTTTATATGAAAACAGTTCTTAAAATCCTCCAAAGTTAGCAATCAACACATTTTTCCCCTTCATGACTCTTAATAACTCATAGCAGTCCATCCATTCTTACATGCCCAAGCGCTACAAAAACTGGCAGAGCAGGGACTTGCTGGGGTGACTGATCCCAACGTATACTTAAGCTGACATGGTACATGATTAATATACAATTGTGACAGCGTGTATCATCACTGTTCAAAGATATTGTGTGTCTGAATCTAGGGGAGACAATTATTAAAAACGCTCAGAGTCTTAGGCAGTAAGACAAAATGCTTAAGGCTGTTTATCTGGGTAGTAAGTGTATATTTCCTCAGACAAAGAAAAAAAACATATTTACATTTAACATTAAAACATTAGCAAATAAACTAAAATTTACTGATATCTTGTTGGATGGCTAGATAAACACCACTTTAGTTCCCAAAACTCTGACCATGTGCACCATAAGCATTTCCATGTATTTATTTAATTAAACCACCAGTTCAGTTAATTAATTAACTTAATTAAACAACTCAATGAGGTATTGATTAGTCAAATAAGGTGGAGAAGTGATTGAGATGAAAAATTCAGTGGTGTGTAAGACAATTGCAGCAAATACTGGGGTGATCTAAGGGGAGGTTTTAAAATGGCTAAGCTGACACACTTTGACAGATATTATATCATAGTTTTACAGAAAAGTGAAAATGTGTCTATTTCATGGTGAGAAATTATCAGAAGCCACAGGATTGAACTGCTTGCCATGGATGATGGCGTGGGAAAGGACACGTTTGAAGACTTGCTTGTATTCTGAGGATGTAAAATTGTAGTTACAATTAAGTGAATTTAAAAATTTTATTCCAGGAATGGGTAAGCATTTAGAAGGACCAAGACCATTTCACACTATTCCACCCCCAGACACTCTCCATAAAATCTATCTGTATAATCAAAGTGTTTCTATAAACTGTGAGACAAAACATCATTTCCACCATTATAGCACCACTGATACACGACGTAGTGCTTGTTTATTACTTCTATCTTTACAATAATTAACTTATTTTGTTTTCTTGATTGTTTTCATTTCATTGTTATATAACATCACCGTTCTGTTATTTTCTAATTTAAAAAGTCAAACAGAGATGAAAATAATGAAAACAAATGGAACACCATTTAATGAAACTCTTTAATTACAAAATATTCTGTAAACATTTGTGATTGTCAAAGACTAAAATTCAGTTTGGCACTTCAATCTTTAAATAGAGAGTATATAATCAACGTACAAAAGACACAAAATGGTGAAATCCAGAGTACGTTCAACCTAGTGAAAACACTGACATCTACCGGCAAATGTCACTAAATGCACAAATGTGCAGTACGTCCGTCTTGGCTACGAGTGCTTTAAGGGAAGGTCTTAAAAGATCAACAGAAAGTGGTAAAAATATTTTGCGTTTGCTTCAACTGTAGAAATCTTTGAAATTGCTTGATAGTCTCTTCCGAGTCCTCTGTATTAACCACACAAAAGGTTTATTAAACAAACCACTGTCATACATTTCAGTATTTTCCAGTCTTTGCACCTTCGCTCCTGATCAGGTACGTACGCACTTAGAGTTAGGGCTCGTCTGCCTTGTGCCTCTCCACTTGCCCCGATTATCTTTATATTGAATTACTGCCCAGTTTATCAGAGTGGGCCCTGTGTTTTGAGGCACTGGGCCTCTTTCCCAGTCTTCCAGAGACCTTGGACCCCCACCCCAGCTACGAAGCTGAATACTAACTATAAGTTACTAATATTTAATCACAGGATACGTTGTGCCTAGAGGGCTGTATGTGTCCGGGATGCACACTGTATTGAAGTTGTTCAGATGAATTCAGTCTCCTACTTTTTATGCATACATGCCCTTAAAAAGATGGAAATACCAAATAGCACATAGTTAAAAAATTTAAATTTAGACTGAAAATGTCTCCATGGGAATTATTTTTGGAGAGCCCTGTTTATCAGAAGGGGGTCTCCCCCTCCCGCCGGACAGGACGAAGGGGGGCGTTTCAGTCTGACACCGCGCTGAGACGCCGCCCGCCGGACTGAAGCAAACCCCTATCCGCCGGAGATTCGGGAGCAGCTGCTACCTGGGATCGGCTTGCAGGTTCCGCTCGGCTGTGAACGCGATACCCGCTCAGGTAACGCTGCTGTCCGGCGTGGCGCCCGGATGCCGCATCGGGCCTCGGCGCAGCGCCCAAAGTAACATTGTTATTATTATTATTGTGTTACATGGCTGCCTGACAGTGTACGCCTCTTCCTTCTGTGTCATGCTGAGCGATCGCTGCAACATAGTTACGCCCTATAGCTACATTTACATTTACATATTGGTGTAATATACCCAATTGTATAATCGTGAATGCATTGTAATATCGATTAGCAGCTGGGTTCTGCACTATATTTATTCGAATAAATTGGTTAATGAATGGGAAGAACCATCGATTCGTGTGTTACATGAAGGTGCTACGAACACACTGAACGTGCTTCAGACCGCGATCAGGGCTCGATGTTACCGTGTACACTGGTGGGGGGGGAAGCCCAGGCCTCAGGCAATCGCGGGATAAAACCATTTATCTCTGCGTCACTGAGACACCCGGCTATTCTGCTGGATGTTCAGGGCACGTTTCGGCTCGGTCTGCCCGGTGGGGGTGGTACCGCCGCCCGAGGTCCGGAGCGGGCAGCGCTGTGGCCTGGTATCTTTCGGGCTTCCCGGGCAGGGAGCTCGGGAGGAATCTGGATGTTAATGGAGGAGATGCTCGTTCAGACCCACAGAACACTACCGCTGCGTCCATTCTGGGTGACAGATCCTATGATTCATTGTGACAATGTTCAGGAACCAGTGACCCACCTGTCTCTCCGGCATCAGCTCCCGGTGCTGCGGGAACAGGCTCCGGAGCCCTTGCAACCCTTCCCAGGGTTCGCGATTAAATAATGGATGGATGCTTATAGCTATTAAATTATCTTTGCGTCCGATGTCAGTTACCTATATTTTCTTGTTTTAGTAGAATCTCTGTTGTCGTAGTATTACGCTGTAACCTATTCGTGTGTTTAAAGAGAATATTGATGCTGAGATTTGAAAAATGACCCATAGTCTAGATGTCAAACTGTCACTAATATTAGAATCAGCTTTGATTTAAATAATATAATCAGTGTAGTAGACATTACATGGCTTATATTTGTTTTTAATATAGCAAACATAAACAATTGCTGGAATTTTAAGCAAAATACACTAATTTGTTTAAGGTGAGAAATGTATTTTTTTTTGTGTAGTTGTGAAAGAATACAGGTTAGGTATTGAACGCTTTAGTCTTGGCCTGGAATCCAGAATGATTTGGTTTCCTCTGGAAAGACATCATAAATGAGCGCTTTTTAATAATGATTGGTTTGTGGTTGCTATTACTCAGTATTATGTGCCACCTTACTATTATTAAAGCTGAATTTAACATGACTTCTGAAAAATACAGGCTGATTTTCAATGGAGTATAATCCAAGTTATTTGTGTGCTGATGCTGATTCAGTGACACTCGTGAACGTGCTGTATGCAGATCGCACGCATTTGCAGTGGGTGTTGTCCATTTGGAGAATGACTTTGATGGTACTTAATATTATTTTTATTTTCAGAGTATAGGATGGTCATCCCTCCTACCTATGCTGACCTTGGCCAGTTGGCTAAAGATGTTTTCTCCAAGGGATACGGTATGCTGTAGTTGGCACCTTAGATACATGTAGTTACTTTTTTTGGCATGTCTGTGGTTTGTTCTTTTGTCCTTTGGTGCATTTATCATTTTCCTGGGTCTTTAACTCAAAAATCTAAAGTCAAGGGTTTTTTAGTTTTTTTCCTTTTTTGGTCAAAAACTAATCTTAAACATCTTATTTAGATTTAGATTATTTTGACTGTTTGTAACAATTTCTAATTATGAAGTCGTAACCTTTTTTATTGTTCAGTCTGTTTTACTGTCCATTTGCTCGCTGTGAACATAGCCCTGGTTGCAGCAGACGTGAACTAACTAACTAGCTAACTAGTTGGCATGCCTGAGGTGTCCCTAGAGTGTGTCCCCCCCCCCCCCCCCTCCCCCTTTATGGTACAGGCTGCAGGCCCCATATCCCTGACCAGGCTGAGTAAGCTGGATATGGATGGATACATTTTATGTTGATCATTTATTTTGCTGAACACATTCTGATTTGGTTTAACTGATAATCAGCCATGCAGTGCATTAAATTTCTGTGTTTGTTTTGCGATACGTGGAAAAGTACAATTAATAATGTACTTTAAACCTCTAAAGTTACTTGATTAGTATTAACATTGATAGTTTTATTTTTTACTTACAATAGTGGTTATTATTTTTCTTGCGCAAACTCTTAATTTCTGTTTCATCTTAAAGGATTTGGGCTCTTCAAGTTGGATTTGAAAACAGAGTCAGAGAATGGACTGGTGAGTACTGGTGTTAAGGCAGAGAATGGACTGGTGAGTACTGGTGTTAAGGCAGAGAATGGANCAGAGAATGGACTGGTGAGTACTGGTGTTAAGGCAGAGAATGGACTGGTGAGTACTGGTGTTAAGGCAGAGAATGGAACTCCACTCGATTGTTGACTTTGGTCTTTAGAGTGAAGAAGCGTAATGTATAGGACAGTGAGGAATAACAGTACATCAAGATAATGTCTTAGAATCTGTCCTCATTGCTTTTTTGGATTGTCCAGGAAATCACAAGTAATTTATTTGTGGTTTTCAGTTTGCAGTTTGAACCAATGATGACCTTGGTGCTGTTAAATACTGTGTAACTGTGTATGGCTTCTGTTTTATAGCAATTCACCACCTCTGGCTCTGCCAACACAGAGAGCAGGAAGGTGACAGGTAGCCTAGAGACCAAGTATAAATGGGCTGAGCATGGGCTCACCTTCACTGAGAGGTGGAACACGGACAACACCCTGGGCACGGAGATCACCCTGGAGGACCAGGTAGCACGAGCTCTGTTGCCAGTGCGAGCCTGAACTGCCACCTAATCATGCGCACTCTGATTTTGACGAGTTCAGTGTGTCCCTGGGTCACCAAGGGAGGGACTTGCATTCACGTCTTTAACCAATCATAGTGTTCGTTGTATGACATCACCACATTAATTAAAACCAGTGTTTTCTATTAAGCGTTATGGTGCACAGATTTCTAAAGTATCTTTTGTTGTGTCTGCCTTTTGTTAGGGGATATGTCATAGATAAACAACATAGGAGTATGCTTACCTGCAAAGGCTGTATGGAGCATTGTAAGGGTGCGTCTTTATTTCATGATAATAATAATAACAGCAACACTACTACTACTAATACTACTACTACTAATACTACTACTAATACTACTACTACTAATACTACTAATACATAATACAGCACCCTTGCGATCACAGGCACAGAGGCTGAACCTGCTGAGCCTCACACTGCTCTTGTGCTGATGGATGGAAGTTTAAAAATGAGAAGAAAAAAAACAGACTAATGCAGTGATGTCATACGATGAAGACTGCGATTGGTTAAAGATGTGAAATGCAAGCCCCTCCCTTGTTGACCCAGGGACACATTGAACTCGGCAAAATCAGGACATCCACCTAATGATGCCTACATTCAACTTCTTCTGTCTTCTCTTCAGCCGGCTAAAGGACTGAAGCTCACTTTTGACTCGTCCTTTTCGCCAATTACTGGGTGAGGAGTGGGAACCATTTTCCAATGCTGAGCTTATTTGTGGTAGAGTACTGATACATGCTATGTGCTACAATTACAACAGGAAATAAAGGCGGAAGGATATGTTCTTCATGTGTAACAGCTCTCCTGTTTCATGGTTTCAGCTGTTGAACCATGTTTACTGTTATGCGAATCTGTGTCAGTTCCAAGTGACTGTTATAGCTGGTTTTAGGGAGTTATGACGCCGTTTGTGCTTACTTAGAATATGCAGATTTAACTCATATTTTATGCCAGTTCAGCTCATGTATCTATCGCTGAAAATAACCGGCGCCAAACGCAGTTCAGTTGTAGGTAAAGCATGGATCTTAATAGTTGTGTGTGTAGTTCTCTCTCTTTATCCAAATTATTGATAACCTGTAACGTTAAGCTGTGCGTTTTAATGTAAGTAACGTAGTTTTTTTCCGCAGGAAAAAGATCGGTAAGGTGAAGACCGGCTATAGCCGGGAGTACGTTAACCTGGGTTGTGATGTGGATTACGACATCAACGGGACCTCGGTGCACGGCTCGGCCGTGGTTGCCGTAGAGGGCTGGCTGGCTGGCTACCAGACGACGTTTGAGGTGGGGAGGAACCGCGTCACTCAGAGCAACTTCGCAGTGGGATACATGAGTGACGAGTTTCAGCTGCACACTAACGTGTGAGTGACCTTCAGCTTTCCGCTGCATCTTGCGGTTTTGTTGCTCATATGCTCAGTCATAACTACTTTTCTGAATTAGATACTTAACTGGACAATGGGACCAATATATATATATATTTTTTTTTTGGCAGGAACGATGGTACAGAATTTGGAGGCTCCATCTACCAGAAAGTGAATGAGCGCTTGGAAACGGCCATCAGCCTGGCGTGGACTGCGGGGAACAGCAACACGCATTTTGGAATCGCAGCTAAATATCAGATTGACGACACAGCCTCTTTCTCGGTGCACCGTTTTGCCTTTTTTGCTTTCGAGATGCATATCAGTAAAAGTCAGGAGAATCTTGATCTCGTTTATAAATGCGCCATTCTGAGTACATGCGTAATGTGTTTGAAATGCTTTAGATGGTCACTTTTTTAATATGCGTGGTTAATTTCTTTCAGGCCAAAGCGACCAACTCCAGTCTTGTAGGTCTGGGATATGCTCAAACCCTGAAGCCAGGTAAACAGCAATGAGCATCGCTGCTGTTATAATAAAGTTTGGCACTCTTGTGTACATCTTGTTAGTTTCCTACAGAAACCAATGTGAACACAACAGCTTAAACATGACGCATTTATCACGGATGTACAGTTGATTCCTATAGCAGTGTGAAAAAAGCAAACGGGGAAGATTATCAACCAGGACTGTGACACCCCAAGAATCCACGCCTATCAGCCAGGACTGTGACGCCCCCAGAATCCACGCCTATCAGCCAGGACTGTGACGCCCCCAGAATCCACAACTTCCAGCCAGGACTGTGACGCCCCC